TAGTATTCAAGCTCACACTGTGACAGCTTCCAATTTCACTAATTAGGGTAAACTCTTGAAATTTACGTATTGAAACACATTTTTTATAACTTTTATATGAAAGTTTACCGCTGCTGTTATGAAAGAAGATTAATGTAAAATAATTTTGTTTTCCTAAATATTCGCACTTTCATTATATATAGATATACATGTGTGTGTGTGTGTGTGTGTATATAAGATGTAATACAGTTGTCATAAGACTCTATATGATGAAATATTGTATTTTGTTTAATAACTTATTACAGTGCACAAACAATGAAGCGAATAATTATTCATTGTTAAACAATTCGCTTTTGTAACGTGGCTCCACCGTGTGGTGAAAGAATAAACAATTTTTTCGATTTGTATGTTACTATAATTTTTAACCTCTCGTGTTTTATCATGAATTTTTATCGTTGCTAATAAGCTAGTCTTCGGCTTTTTGTTTAAGTTCTTAAAAGCTCTGGAATAATTCTCAAGAATGGTTATATTTTATTCTAATTTCATATATATATAATACTCATCACTTTCCTACTTATTGATAGAGAAATAGTTTTGGAAGTTTTAACTAACGAGCCAGTTGGATCGTTTATGGTACGGAAAAGTGCAAGCAAACCTGATTGCTACGCCCTCTCTCTGCGCGTTCCACGGACTTTCCAGCCCTCTGGGATCGCCCATTATCTCATCCTGAAAACTATTCGTGGCTATAAAATAAAAGTAAGACAAAAATGTATCACTTAAAATCCCCCCACCTTTCAGACAAGAGCATAGTTATTTTTACTGTTTGATTTCTGAGTTAGAAGCATCAAACACGTTAAGATAAAAAACTCTCAAAGTTCTTGTAAATATGTTAATTACACAAATTCTGAAAACATACTAACTTGTGTATATCAGTTAGTTTTAATGGATCACCGTGTTAAATTGTAAATTGGTTGACTCACCAGATGTCACTTTCATTAGTAAATATTATACGATAATAAGATGTATTAGCTGCAATTCTATGGTACACTACCTAACCTTTAGAATAATTATTAAAGACAATTTTCTGGTTAAGACTAGTTTGTTTTATAAACGAATTTCCTATATAGCAGGTATTAATTTCACCATTTTAAAATATCGTAAAGTTACTGAGGATTACATTACGCAACAAGTATTTTAGACTTAAGACTAGTTCGTCTTTCAAATTTTAAGAAGGTTCACATTAAAAGATACACAGTAAGTAGGTGTCGCTAGTAAATGTTTTAAATTTCTAAGTTGAAGACAGATAAGCCTTAAAATTTTGAAAGACGTTAAAAATAAACCAAAAAAAATCAATATAGAGAATATTTCGATGACGTATTGTCAAAAAAAAAAAGCTCACAAAAACCGTAGAGAAAGAAACTGGTCGGAAAAGAAAAGTTATTAATTTTAAACTTCAGGCTTTTCTTAATAATAATAAAACTTTCGTGTTGATTTTACTCTAACTTTATATATGATTATTTTTACGATACTACGGTGTTATTGAGTTTAATGATAAGAAAATTTTGTGTTTATTAGTCTTTAACTCTGTAGTTATTTTTGTTTTTCGTGTTATCGTTCCGGAACTTGTTTGTTATTATTGGTTAACCATCAGAAATGTATATATTGGTTTTCATGTATAAAGAGTAGTTAAAAGATAAAAGATTATAAGTTGTGTTTTTGATATATTTTTAGTCTATTTATGTAAATAATATTAAATGTATAATAAGTTATAGGTTTTAGACAGCAGCGATATCTCTTGTGTTAATTGGTAGAGACAACCGTATTGAATAAGTTTTTTACATTTTATAACATAAATTGAGTACTAATATCACTTTCTGGATGCCAATTTTTACGTTAGTCTATCCTTCACTGTATTTAATATATAAAAAGTAACCTTACGCGCTTAGAAAATAGCTTACTATGCTAAAACCTTTCAAACTAAGATAATTATTTCTGAACGAAGAGGGGGTAATTGTTTTTTTGTTTTTGCAGTATATTAGAACGCCAAAGTCTGATATTCATAAACAAACTAAATAAATTATCCAGAGAATAAAATTGGCTTTTTTATTAGAATAAATAATGCTGGTAACAGACAATGTTTGCTCCAAACGTTCGCTTAACCAATGAATGTATATTTAAGCACCATTAAGTTTTCACAAAGTTAAAGTAAAAAATTAAGCACACGTTGAACGTTCTCTGAAAATAATGGTCGTAAAAGAAAATTAAATATATATAAAGATAAATGTGAAATATGCTGTTAACGAGTTTAAAATTGTTTCATAATTAAAACTTCTAAATTAGTACGACCAAATGACCGTGAAAATTAAGCAATAATTTTTAATGTTAATTTGTTTTAGTTACTGCTATTCCATTGTATTCACTTTAGAAACTCGGAGACAAAAAAAATACGTTCTAATGAAAGTGTATTTATTCATTTTGTTTAGGGTTTTACAAAGGAGTTTGCTACACTTTCGGCCTTAATCACTCATCATTCGGTTATGCCTGAGATTCTACCATGCCCACTTTTGTTGTCAAGGTACAACAATATCTGGCAACGGCTCAACTGCCCTGAAGACCTTGTGGACATTAACCAAGATCCATCTTGTAATCTTTTAGAGTTTCGAAAGGCACTGGCTGATTTAAATTTTTAAATATATGTACATGTTTTCAAAAGGAGATATCAAAACTTGCGTCATCACTTCATATCATTACAAACTTGCGCGTATTTTTATTTATTCTTGGTCATTACTAAAAGTTCACTGTATCCATGTCATGATAATATATTTTGTGAGATAATTGTATAAACTTGTTGCATATCCATCATGGAACCTGTCACAGTGTGAGCTTGAACACTATTAAACAAATGTTTAGTTTACCCTAATTAGTGAAATTGGAAGCTGTCACAGTGTGAACTTGAACACTATTAAACAAATGTTTAGTTTACCCTAATTAGTGAAATTGGAAGCTGTCACAGTGTGAGCTTGAACACTATTAAACAAATGTTTAGTTTACCCTAATTAGTGAAATTGGAAGCTGTCACAGGGTGAACTTGAACACTATTAAACAAATGTTTACTTTACCCTAATTAGTGAAATTGGAAGCTGTCACAGTGTGAGCTTGAACACTATTAAACAAATGGTTAGTTTACCCTAATTAGTGAAATTGGAAGCTGTCACAGTGTGAACTTGAACACTATTAAACAAATGTTTAATTTACCCTAATTAGTGAAATTGGAAGCTGTCACAGTGTGAACTTGAATACTATTAAACAAATGGTTAGTTTACCCTAATTAGTGAAATTGGAAGCTGTCACAGTGTGAGCTTGAATACTATTAAACAAATGTTTACTTTACTCTAATTAGTGAAATTGGAAGCTGTCACAGTGTGAGCTTGAATACTATTAAACGAATGGTTAGTTTACCCTAATTAGTGAAATTGGAAGCTGTCACAGTGTGAGCTTGAATACTATTAAACAAATGGTTAGTTTACCCTAATTAGTGAAATTGGAAGCTGTCACAGTGTGAACTTGAACACTATTAAACAAATGTTTAGTTTACCCTAATTAGTGAAATTGGAAGCTGTCACAGTGTGAAGTTGAACACTATTAAACAAATGTTTAAGGTTTTTGGAGTTTGTTCATTTAGTGGTTCATGCACTTCATGTTTGTACATTCAGTACTTCATGCATTACATGTGGTTTGTATGGTGCTAAAGTACTTTTGTGTGTTCTTGTGGTTTGTATGGTGCTAAACTAATTTTGTAGGTTATTGTGGTTTGTGTGGTGCTAAACTAATTTTGTGTGTTCTTGTGGTTTGTTTGGTGCTAAACTAATTTTGTGGGTTCTTATGGTTTGTACGGTGCTAAACTAGTTTTGTGGGTTCCTGTAGTTTGTATGGTGCTAAACTAATTTTGTGGGTTCTTATGGTTTGTACGGTACTAAACTAGTTTTGTAGGCTCTTATGGTTTGTATGGAGCTAAATTAAGTTTGTAGTTTCCTGTGGTTTGTATGTTGCAAAACTACTTTTGTAGGTTTTTGTGTTTTGTATGGTGCTAAACTAGTTTTGTAGTTTCTTATGGTTTGTATGGGGCTAAATTAAGTTTGTAGTTTCCAGTGGTGCTAAACTAATTTTATAGTTTCTTGCGGTTTGTCTGGTGCTAAACTAACTCCACTTCTTAGTTCTTGGTGTAAATTGTACTCAGTACCGTTTAAAGTAACCTAAAACAAAGCTTAGATCTACTGTTACGTATACAAGTTTCGACAGATCACGTGTCCACTTCTGTCCAACGTTTGTTTGAAATTGTATACGTATAATTTGGTAATAGTAAATCTATGGTTTATTCTGTTTAAAAATAAAAACATCATACCGTTAAATGTGCACAATATTCTATTAAAAGCAGCACCGGGTTCTTTGTTCCAACCGCCGAGTCCACCCCACCCCCTGGGGAGGGGGTCACGGGTAAGTTTAAGGACATGCAACACTAAAATCCGAGGTTTGATTCCCCGCATACTGCCGACTGTCGATTTATTATAATCTAAATTTCTGACAGAATTTCGGTATCCAACGAGTCCTGAACTGGATCGCGCATTGGCTAGTGTCACTATATTGACACTTGACGTCTAGCAGAAGCCATTTTGTTGGTCTCTGAATTGTCGAGTTTAACAGCGTTAATAGCAAAGATATCCAAGGGATGGTTGAGTGCTTTGTAATAACTTCAAGAGATGGTTGAGTGCTTTGTAATAACTTCGATCTTTCAGTTTAGTGACCTCAGTTTATTTATTTATTGCCTTTTTTTTTAGGTTTTGTAGTAAATATGATAAACAAAAAAACAATGGCTATATAAATTGTAAAAATAATTGTTTGTATAATTGGTATCGTGAATATCAATAACTAGCAGTATTGTTTTGGTATAATTTTTTTTTATTATGGTCTGCTTATTTATTGATAATAAAGAGACACATTTGGATATAAGCTTATGCAAGTCTGTGGTAAAACAGAAAGTTTTGTATAAACACAATGAAATAACACAAAACTATTAAAGTGTTGTAGTTTATTGTTTCTCTATACAGCAAAACAGTGTTAATCTGAACACTATATATTTATACAAGTAGACTAATAAAGTACATGCACTGATGATTTGTTTGTTTGAAATTTACTAAAGTAAATGAAGTACTAAATGAACAAACATGTAGTTCATGAAGTACTAAATGAACAAACGTGTAGTACATGAAGTACTAAATGAATAAACGTGTAGTGCATGAAGTACTAAATGAACAAACATATAGTTCATGAAGTACTAAATGAATAAACGTGTAGTACATGAAATACTAAATGAACAAACATGTAGTACATGAAGTACTAAATGAACAAACATGTAATGCATGAAGTACTAAATGAACAAACATGTAATACATGAAGTACTAAATGAACAAACATGTAATGCATGAAGTACTGAATGTACAAACATGAAGTGCATGAACCACTAAATGAACAAACCTAATTTTGTGTGTTCTTGTGGTTTGTATGGTGCTAAACTAATTTTGTAGGATCTTGTGGTTTGTATGGTGCTAAAGTACTTTTGTGTGTTTTTGTGGTTTGTATGGTGCTAAACTAATTTTGTGGGATCTTGTGGTTTGTATGGTGCTAAACTAATTTTGTAGGATCTATTTTAGCACCATACAAACCACAAGATCCCACAAAATTAGTTTAGCACCATACAAACCACAGGAACCCACAAAATTAGTTTAGCACCATACAAACCACAGGAACCTCCAAAATTAGTTTAGCATCATACAAACCACAGGAACCTCCAAAATTAGTTCAGCATCATATAAACCACAGGAACCTCCAAAATTAGTTTAGCATCATACAAACCACAGGAACCTCCAACATTAGTTTAGCACCATAACAATCACATGAATGTTCAAAGTTAGTTTAGCACCATAACAACCACAAGAATGTTCAAA